GAGCTCCCTATGGGGTGGGAGAGGCGCATGCGGACTGCGCCACTGGGACCTTCGGTGGAGCTCCCTATGGGGCCACGGAAGGCTATGCTGGGTGTGGGACACGCTTCGGGCTGCGCCACTGGGACCTTCGGTGGAGCTCGTTCCTATGGGGCCACGGAACGCGTTAGGGGTGTGCCAAAGTGAAGGGGTGACGGGAGGAGGAGGGGGAGGAGGAGAGGAGAGGAGGAGGAGGTGGAGAAGGAACGAGGGGCGCTGTCTCTTCAAAACGAGGACCCAACAACAAGTTGGTTGGAAATTAAAGCAGTTTCACGGATGGAGGGCGGTCCTCGTAGCGCCGCGCGCATGCGTGTTAAAGACTTGTAACAATTTCACGCGTGGTGGGCGGCCGGCTTTCCACATGTAGCTCTCGCCTTAGCGCCACGCACATCGTGTTGAAAAACTGCAGGAGCTTTACGGATTGAGGGCGGTTCCTTTTGAAAATGTGGCTCTCGCCTTAGCGCCGCGCACACTTGTCTTAATATTTGCAAACATGTCACGGGTTCCCATGGTCAGCGTGCCAGAAATGGTGTTTTGGAAGTGCTCAAGACTGTGAGGCCGCAGCAGTTGCGTTGATTCGCGGTGTAGAAATCACTGGAATGGCGTTCTGGCACGATTCCACATCGTCAATACGCAACAATCATGTTGATTCGTGGCGTTGAAATCCCGAGAATGATGTTTTGGCACGCTTCAGGGTCTTCAAACGATTGTCTCCAAGAGAGGCAGTTCCCTCAGTGGACATGAAGTCTTGTAGTGGCCCACCAAGAAGGAGCTTGGAGGGAGGGTTTGCTGCAAGATCGTTGATGGGTCTTGGGTTAATCCTCGTCCTCCTCCTCCTCCTGGCACCTGGCACCTCGTGGCATGAATGTTCTCCTGAACGCTTCCTCCCACCCCTTGGGCCAGTCGGCCCTGAGAGGGTGGATCAAACAAGGGCCGGGCGACCCCTGGAGCACCGATCCAGGAGCCACTGGCGCGCACATAGTTTTGCGTGAAGAAGAAGGGGAGCGAGAGACAGACAGACAGATCCTCCTCCTCTTCCTTTCCTGCTGTTCCCCCATCGAAGCCACCCCACTCCGTTTCTCCATCTATCCGTCCTGCCCGTCTTCATCGCTCTCCCAGGGCATTCTGCCCGCCCACTCCTCACTATCCTCCCTGACCTCTTCATCCTCCTCCATCTCCTCGCTGCTCCTCGTCATTCTCCTCCGCTTTCCTGCTCCTCCTGATCCTCCGTCACCTCTCAACTTTCCCTTATTTCTCTTTCTCATCCTCCTCTTCCTCCTCCTCTGCCTCCTCCTCCTCCTCACTCGCCTCATCCGCGTATTCCTCCGACTCATCACACCCTAAGCAATTATCGATATATTTCTTCAAGCTTTCCCATCCTTTCAGCACGCCTACGGAGAATCCAGAGCGTCCTCACAATCCTAGTCCTTTTCCTCTTTCTCCTCCAACTCCTCCTAATCCTTTTCCTCTTTCTCCTCCAACTCCTCCTCCTTCTACAATTACTCAACAATGACTCAATATGAAAATACTCTCCCTCTTCCCCTGATGGCGTCCGGGTGATGGCCGCGCACCCTCCGCGTACTGTTTTTTTACACAAAGGATTCCCGGGAAATCCCGGGAAACGACTCTCGCTGAGGCGCCGGCGTCATTGTTTCCCAAAATGCTGCCCTCGTTGAGGCGCCGGCCTCATTTCTGCTTCCGAATCGTTCCGAATCGTGTTCCCGCTGCAGCGTGGGCCTCATTTTCGGATCGGTGTTTGGCCTCCGTCGTTCAGGATGGCGTTCTCGCCCAAGCGCGGGCCTTTTTCTCGCGCGCCCATCCGCCCGCCACCACCGCGCCGCACCGCCACCACCCACCAGCACCAGCCAGCACCAGCCACCACCACCACCACCACGCACGCACGCACGCACGCACGCACCACCACCACACACGCACACAGCCGCACGACACGCGTCCGCCAGCGCCACGTCAGATATGACGCGACCGCATAGCATCTTCCCCTGATGGCGTCCGGGTGATGGCCGCGCATTCTCCGCGTACTGTTTTTTACACACAGGATGCCCGGGAAATCCCGGGAAACGACTCTCGCTGAGGCGCCGGCGTCATTTTCGGGCAGGATTCCCGGGAAACGGGTTTTCGCCTGCGTTTTTTTAATGATGCTCTCGCTGAGGCGCCGGCCTCATTTCTGCTCCCGAATCGTTCCGAATCGTGCTCCCGCTGCAGCGTGGGCCTCATTTTCGGGTCGGTGTTTGGCCTCCGTCGTTCAGGATGGCGTTCCCGCCCCAGCGCGGGCCTCTTTCTCGCGCGCCCATCCGCCCGCCACCACCGCGCCGTACCACCACCACCACCACCACAACCACCACCACCACCACCACCATTTCAACCACCACCAGCACCAGCACCACCACCAGCACGAGCACGAGCACCAGCACCAGCACCAGCACCACCACCAGCACCAGCACCAGCACCAGCACCACCACGCACACACGCACGCACGCAGGCACGTGCACCACCACCCACTACGCACGCGCGCGCGGAGCCACAGGTCCGCTACGACACTCGTCCGCGGATAGAGAAAATCAGCGCCATGGTAAGGGATGGGAGGGAGGGGTAGGACGTCAGATATGACGCGAGCGCACCTAGCTTGCTCCTGCTCCTCATCATCTTGCTCGTCTCTCATTTTTCCCCGTCAACATGTTTCCTCCCTCACTCTTCAATTATCACCCCATTCCTCCCCATCCTGCCACTCCTGAATCGACAGTCTGCTCGTCTCTCATTTTTCCCCGTCAACATGTTTCCTCCCTCACTCTTCAATTATCACCCCATTCCTCCCCATCGGGAGCCACTGGGAGTGAATCGACAGTCTGCCGTCCACGAGAGCCACAGACTGCACCCCAACCTACCCGAGGCAGGGCCCTCCAGCACCAGCGCACGCCATTTGCGGGGCTCGCCGGCCAAACCAGCCGAGGGCCTGGACCGAACTGGCGCCGAGCCCCTGCTTCGCAACGCTCTGCGCCAACACTGACTCTAGATCAACGCGCGCTCCCCCCAGATTGACAAATGAAGCGCCCACATCCTGGCTGGAACTTGCCGAACTCACAACCCACGCGGCGCATGGCTGCGGGCGTGCTGCGCGGACGGACCCATTCAGCCAAATCTTCATGGCGAACGGCGTGATGGCCTGGCCGTGAAGGAAAAAACCTTGTCCTTTGGGCCATTGAGCGCAGCGACGCCTGGCCTCTCATGCTGCCCGCTGAGGTCGCTGGCGAACGCGCCGGATGGTGACGTTAAACAAGAACTGGTGGCCAGATGCGGGTCAGGAGATGACGAGGTCCACAATGGGCTCAAAGGCTTAGCCGACCGCCCCGCTTGACGCAAGAACACGCTGTGGCGGGACGAACACGCCTGTGGTGGCGCCGGAGCGCGGCAACAACTGCACTTGTGGCCCCTCGAGGCGGCCCGTGCGACCCTGTGGGCCTCGTGACGGCGTCGTGACGGCGCCGTTGGGCCCTGGGGGCCCTGTGGCCCAGCGACGTGACGGCGCTGGGCGGTCACCGCAAAGGTGGGACGGCCTGACGTCGACGCGCAGCAGCTCCGCAGCTGCTCCGCAACCTCCTCGGCGGCTGCCGCGTGCTCCGCGCTGCATTCCGTCGGCCTCCACACTTGTGCAGCAAGTCGCTTGACTGCCACGCGGCGCACAGGCTCGGCAGCATGAGGAGATGGCGCTGCCGCTACTCAGCCTGGTTTTCCCTCCCGCCCCTTCTACCCCCCTCCCTCGTCCAGCGTCCCGCTTCCATGACTCCTCGACTTCATTCTCTCTCACTCCCTTTCTCCCCCTCTCTGTCTCCCGCCCTCCCTCTCCCTCCTCCCCTCTTCCTATACTCCTGCTCATCACCCCTCTCCCCCCCTCCCCTCCCACTGCTCGTCCTGTTGTCACCATGCCAATCCTCCCCTCCCTCCCTCCTCCTCGTCCTCCGCAACTTCCTCCCGCCTCCTTCTTCCGTCCCCCGTTTCTCGTTCGCCCTGCCCCCCCCCGCCGCCTTCCTCTCCGCCCTCCCTGTCTCTTCTCCGCCCCCCCTCCCTCCGCGCTCCTTCTGGGGGTGCATCAGCTCCAGGTCGAACCCGTCGGTCAACGGCCGCGGCATCCTCGCGTCTGCACGCGTCCGCTTGTGGCTCGACGACGACGACGACGACGCCGGCGACGAGGCCTCCCGCCCCGTGAGGAGCGCGAGGCGCGGTGCGTCGGAGGCTGCCAGCGGTGTGCAGCGCGTGGCCCGATACAGTCGGAATCCATTGGAGAGGACACGCGGAATGGCACAGAAGGGTCTTCCGAGGGCCACGCTGCCATACCACATACGAGCGTAGCGGATAGGGACCGCGAAACCGAGGACACGGGGACGACCCTTGATTTGGAAGGGTCGCCCTGCTGATCAAGCTCGGCTGTCGGTGGTCCCCTTTCCCGGGCTGCTCGCTCCGTGTTGGCGCCCGCCCGTGGGGGACCCTTGGGCCTCGTGGGCGGGGTGCCGCGGTGGAGTGCGCCACGGACCAGATCAGGACCTCCCGCACCGGGCGCTGGGAAGGCACGCGCGTGTTTGCTGCTCGGGCCCCCCGAAGTGCGGAGGTCTCGCATGCTGCCGCCGCCACCGCCGTCAGCATCCATTGAAAGGGGCCCTGGGACACACAAATAAATACACGCAAATAAAAGGATTCCCCATATTTTGTCAATTTTATTTGTTGTTTTTGTCTTCCCCCCCACTTCCCATATGTTCGCATATTTTCCGGGGGGTGGACGATTAATTGTGTCCGTGTGTTTTTTTCTCCCCTCCTGACATTCGAGCGACGCAGCAGGTGGCAGCGACCGTGCCCACTCCGACGACGTTGCCTCTGGAGCGGAATCCCCCCTTCCCACGCATCGGGGGAGAGAGGCTGGGGCCCTGGAGCCCACCCGCGGGGGTGACTCGGGGTTGACTCCCTCGGGGCCGCCGCGGGCAGTTGTCCCCGGCAGGCTCTTCCTCGCCGGCGCTTTTTGGGCATACTGTCATGTCGAACGGTTGCGGTGAGATTGGCGCTCGGGGCGCCCCGCGAAGCAGTCGTGGGAGTGCCCGTCGCGCGTTACGTCATCTGTGTAGGGAGCACCACCCGGTGTACTGTAGTCACGAGAGTACTCCTCGGGATCCAGGTCTGCAAGGCAGCAGGGAAGGCGCGAATAATGGGGAGACTCCTGTTCAAAGAGATCGAAGGCGGACGCTCCCAGGCCCGTTTCGCGACCTCCCGGAATGCTGACGAGATAGTCGTCAAATCCTCAATTGTTTTTCTTTCCTGCCTGGGTCTCCCCCGGCTCTGGCAACATAGTCACCAATCAATCAGGACGCTTCGCTGGCGCTGAAGGTGTGAACATTGTATCGATCAACTGTCACAGACCTTCAACTACACACAGGCGCGTGCAATCAAGGCGTCGTGCCCCTTGCCACTGTCTTCGAGGACTTCTGCAACATGATGACAAGGATCTCGGGACTTTTTTCGCCAACACCATATGCGTGAACGTTGCGTCAATCAGTTGTCAGACGTCTGAGGCTGCACGCACGGCGGATGCACCAATGGCATTGGATCCACGAGCCGCTCACACATAGTCTGCGAGGGGACGAAGTCCTCGCAGTTGATGTTCTCGGAGATGCACGGGTGCGGCTGCGCAGTATACGACGGTGAATCCAAAGAGCGAAAAAGGCAGGCGCGGAAAAGGATCCCCACCATTGCGGCGGAAAACCCTTCCTGAACCGAGCTAAGCATAGGAAACCTCCCGTTCGAGGAGGAAAAGGAGGAGGAGGAGGAGGAGGAGGAGGAGGGAAAGGAGAAGGAGGAAAAGGAGGAGGGAGGAGGAAAAAAGATGAAAGCGAGGGTGCGGACGAGGACGCGGCCATTGCTTGCGCCAGTTCAGACAAGGCACTGGACTGGAGTCGGACTGAACTCAGCCTCCTTTCTCCTCCGCTGTCGCGCTGGCACGGCCTAGGCTTGCCGCAGGTAGCTGGACACCCGCAAGCCAGAAAGAATAGGTGGACACATGAAGTAGGAAGGCGGATAAACCAGATTGGGTCTGGCCCCGCCGAACGAATCACAGACAACAGCAAAAGGATGCCAATTCCTGAGATGGGGTGGAGCTTGACGAAGACTGGGGTATGGGAATCCAGAAGCACCTGCTTTCAACAACTGGCGTGCACTGTTGAGAACCATCACCAGCAGGATTGCCAAGAAAACGCCACGTCAGGGTGTAATGGCCGGCCGGGCGCGGGGAGGAGGAGGAGGAGGAGGTGGAGGAGGAGGAGGAGAAGGAGGTGGAGGAGGAGGAGGAGGGAGGAGGAGGTGGAGGAGGAGGAGGAGGAGGAGGAGGAGGGGCCCGGCCCTCCCCGAGGGCGGGGCGCGGCAGAGCGGCCGCGGGCCATGTGGGCCCGCAGGCGGTCCGGATGCGGTGGTGCTGCTTCGACCAGTTGAACTTTGTCGGGTAGGCGTACCTCTCCGCCCCGCCACGCCCTCCCTCCTCCGCCCGCACCCCTCGTTCGCCCCACCCCCTCCTCCAAATGGGGGGGGGGGATGCCTCCGTTCCCCCATGTGACAGGGAGGAGAAACGACGGAGCGGGAGAGCAGACATGTGTTAGCCGGTTTGCGCTGCGTTCGGTGGTTCGGAGGATGTCGGTGGACTGACGCGAAGAAGGAGACGAAGAAGAAACAAACGAATTCGCATACTAACAATAAGAAGAATAACGCTCTTAGCCGTTGACACCAAACTTCAAAAGAGCAAGCTTAAAACTTGAGACGCAAGTTTCACTTCACCTGCTCGAGATGGAGCTTCGGATTCCGCGCGCAGGGGGGCTCAGGCAGGGATGGTTACAATGCACATGTCACGACCACCACACGAAAACAAGTGCCTCATGGATTCGTCGAAAAACGCAATTTTGGGGCACATAATTCCAGAATTGGGTCCGGCATGTCCTCCTGCAGGCAGATTCTGGAAGACAAATAAAAAATACCCCAACTATCCAAAAGCAGTCAGAAATGGTAGAGAGATCGTCACCGAACTGCTTTCTTACTATCCTTGACTATGACTATTCCTCCTAGTCCTGTAGAGGGACGCGCCCGACTCAAATCTCGGGTCGGGCGAAAGGGGGGGATAACAAAAGGGGGGTTTGAGAATCAGCTCACCTAACTGATTTTCCGAGCGCCTCCCAGCGCCGGAGGCGGCTATGTATCGAGGAATGGGCCCCTCGGTGAGGCCGAAACCAGCGGCACGCAGCAAATCTCGCAACCCCCCCTTTCCCCATCCCCCCTTGTCGTCCGGCCCGAAAATCGAGTAGTCGATCCACTACTCGACGTATCGCTTCGTCATGGCCCTGAGGGCCCGCCGCCTGCGCCTCCCCCCTCCCGGCGCGCGGGCACCGCGGGCCGGCCCTGCACTCCTGGGCCCCGGGGCCCTCGCCCCCTCCGCCCCCCTTGCGGTGTGCAGCCGGGCGGAGGAGGTACCGACTGGCGGCGAGCGCTGGGGGGGGGGGGGGCAGGCGAGAAGGGGCGGGGAGAAGTGTCCGGAGCCTTCCCCGAAGACCCTGGGAACTTCTCCGAGGGCGCGAGGGCTTCTGAGAAGTCCCGCCGCCTGCCCGGAATAGAAGGCGGGCAGCCTTCTCCTTCTCCCTTCCCCGCCGCCTGCCGAAGTCCCGCCTTCTCCTTCTCCCTTTCCCCCTCGCCCGCCGCAGAATAGAAGGCGGGCAGCCTCGACGTGGCAGACGATGAACTCGCCATCGCTCGGACGTCCATTCCCTGTGCAAGTTTCGGTTTCGTACTCGTTTCTCTGCCCGATGATCCCAGATGCTCCTCGACGGTCCTGGCCGCCGAGACTGAATGCACACGTCCGAGCGATGCCAAATGAAGGGGGGGGATACCCGGCACCCAGACGCCAGGCGGGCACTGCTCCTCCACCTACACCCTTCCACCAACCTCCTCCCCCCCTCGGCCCCCGCGCCGAGGCAGGCGCCCCCGCCGCACTCCTCGTGTGCCTTCCCCCCCACCGGAAGGACTGTCGACGCTTTCTCTCTCTCTCTCTCTCTCTCTCTCCTCTCTCTATCTCGCTTTCTCTCTCTCTCTCTCTCTCCCTCTTTCTGTCATTCCTCATTCCTCTCCTCCTTCTTCATTGCCTTTCCTAATAAACAACTCCTCCCTGTCGCACTCAAAGACGTGTCGGTAGGGCGGGCCGGGCGTTTCGCCTGAGACCGCCTCACCAATTGCCAATTGTGATTCTGAAGCTTGAGAATTACAACGGGTTCACAGATGGAAGGCGGGTTCTTTTCAATATGTGGCTCTCGCCTTGCGCCGCGCACATTCGTCTGAAAAGTTTGCATGAGTCTCACGGATGGAGGTTTTTTATGTGCCGCTCGCCTTAGCGCCGCACGCATCGTTTTGGATATTGCAAGAGAGGAACAGATGCGGGGCGAGTGGCTTTCAAAACAAAGCTCTCGCCTTAGCGAAGCGCACATTCGGTTGGAAACTTGGCAAAAGATGCACCGATGGAGGGCGACTGGTTTTCAAAGTGTAGCTTGCGCCTTTGTGCCTCCAACGCTCGTTCTGAAAGATTGCAAGAGTTTCACGGGTGGAGGGCGGTCTGTTTGCGCAAATTGATCTCACGGATGAAGGGCAGGCCGTTTTCACAGTGTGGCTCTCGCCTCAGCGCAGCGCACACTCGTCGTCCGGTTTGACCAAATGTTGAAAGGTTCTTATGGCTGCCGTCTCAGAACAGATGTTCAAACAAGACTTAGGACTGTCAGGGCGCAACCGTCAAGTTGATTCGCGGTGTTGATTGAAGTCTCAGGAATGGTATTATGGCTTGATGCCGGATCGTCAGGACGCAACACTAAACTTGAGTCGCGGCGTTGAAGTCCAAGAGGTGGTATTTTGACACGATTGAGGATTCTCAGGCAGTTGTCTTCCAACGGGCTTCCTGCAGCAGTGGGCAAAGGACCTATGAAGACAGAACTTGGAGGGAGAGTTGATTGCAGCATCGTTGATGCGTCGTGGGTTTACACTGCTCCTGCTCCTCCTCCTGCTTCTCTCTCTCTCTCTCTCTCTCTCCCCCCCCCCGCGCTTCATGTCGTGCATGGTACCGCTCCTCGCGCGGCGCGCGCGCGAGGCGACCGCGGCGGCACCGGCGACCACGGCACCGAGAAATTGCGGCGCGGCTACGACGATTTCGGCGACGACGGCGACCTCGACGACGGCCACCCCCACCATGGCGGACGGCGGCGGCGCCGTCGTTCCGGAGGCTCCGGGGCGCCTCGGGCTCTCGAAGACTGGTTGGGGGCCTCTGGGAGATTCTGGGCCTTTCCGCGGGTCCTCGTCGCCGCGGGCGCGGCTCGAGAATCCAGCCGGGACAGACCCAGGATGGGGACGGGGGCTGGTGGTGAGCGGATTCTGGTCGGGCGACGACGACGATTGCGACTACGACTGCGACTAAGACTACAACCGCGACAACGACTGCGACGACTACGACTACAACTACACAGAATTACGACTACAATAAAAGACTAAGACGACTACGCCCACTACGACAACAACTACGACAACTGCGACGTTGACGACAACGACGACGACGACGACGACGACTACTACTACTACTACTACGACTGCGACTGCGACTGCGACTACGACTACGACTACGACTACGCCTACGACTACGACGACAACAACAACGATAACGACTGCGACTACGACTGCAACTACGACTACAACTTCGACGACGACTACGACCACGACCACGACCACGACGACGACTCTGACAGCTACTACTTCTACGACTACAACTATCACTACTACCGCCACTACAACTAAAAATACTACGACTGCTGCTGCTGCTGCTACTACTACTGATACTACTACGGCGACGACGAGAACGACGAAAATAAAAACGACAACGACGAGAACGGCGGAA